CGCCTTCAGAATTCCCTGTTGGCTAAAACTTTTACCGCATTCATCACAGTGAAATGGTTTCTCTCCTGTGTGAATTGTCATGTGTGCCTTTAGAATTTTCTGATGACTGAATCTTTTACCACAGTCGTCACAGGTAAATGGTTTCTCCCCAGTGTGAGCTGCCATATGTATTTTGAGAGTGCATTGGTGTCTAAATCTTTTGCCACAATTATCACAACCAAAAGGTTTCTCTCCCGTGTGAATTCTCATGTGGATCTTAAGATGTGTTTTCTGGTTAAAGCGCTGTCCACAAAAATCACAACAGAAGGGTTTCTCTCCCGTGTGAATTCTCATGTGAGTGTTTAGATGTGTTTTTTGGTTGAACCTTTGTCCACAAACGTCACAGCCAAATGGTTTCTCTCCGGTGCATACTGCCACTGATGAATCATCATTTTGTGATACTGTAAAGCATTCCTTTTTAGCCAAACCAGAGGAAGACATTCTTCCCCTCTCTCCCTGAAGTGACTGTTTGCAAAGAAAAGTTTTATTACATTCAGATACTTTAGAACTGTCTTGTCCTTTGTCACTATTTACAACTAATTCAGGTGTCCTGGTTTCCTTCCAGTCACTGTCACTGTCTTCAGTGTCAGGTCCAGAGTCTGATAAAGGCTCCTGCCAATAATAGTCATCATCATCATCCTTAATACTGACTTCAGTCTCAGATAAGCTGGAAGCCTTTTCATCACCATTTGGATGTACATAAATATCTTGATCTGGACTTCTAGCTGATTCCGGTCCTCCACAGTCATCACCATCAGTTTCCATTTTTATTCCTTTAGCTGGGGGGGCATTTAAAGCCTCTGCTTCTCTGTTGCATTTAGTTTTTCTTTGAGAAGTTTGTGAATACTCTGATTTCTCATCACTGTCTTCATGTTTCACACTGACAGTATGGCCTGGAAACCTGGAGATATCCGCCACCTGCACCCCATTTAGCTGCTCTCCCACCTGACTGGTCCAGAGCTCCTCCTGCTCCTCTTTTATTTGGATGACCTCTGGGTCTTGTGGATCTGAGGTGGGGCTCCATTCAGGGGGAACCTCTTTAATTGCCAACAGTTGTGAGATATCTGCATGGAAAAATAACACAGACATGAGCATTATGAACAAAAAACTACAGCTGCAAAGGGAGAGATGCCAAACTGTGTTTCATTGTTCTGGTAACAGTGACAATAAAGATCTATCTATCTATCTATCTATCTATCTATCTATCTATCTATCTATCTATCTATCTATCTATCTATCTATCTATCTATCTATCTATCTATCTATCTATACTAGAGGTAATTAAAGTAAAACTGGTAAAAATGGTAGTGATAACGAAGTAAATGGAATGAAATTAATAACTAAAAAAATGTAGTTATAGTTATAAAGTTAATAACCAAGTCACACAGGAAGCTCATGTGTGACTGTGACGGTACATGACTGATATCTGATTTGACACTACTACCAGAACCACAAAAGAATGTGGCTGTTTTCTAATTTTACAATCTATCTGGAAAAGAATAAGACAAAATTGTTATTATAGCTATACAGAAGAAGAATTGCTTACTTAGTGCTAGGCAATTCCACGCATGCTATGACACTTCTGATTTCACTACACAAGCAAACAGAAAAAGGAGAGTTTAACTGGTTTATCAGTAATAAAAAGAATAACTGCTCACTTGAAGCACTGAGAAGCACACTGAGAGGTGATCTGTATCAACCTCATACATTGGTCAAATCATATGATGCAGAAAAAAAATGCAATGAAATGATAATCATAATCCATTAATAACTTTTTCAGCATGGCAAAAATCCCACAAAGGCTGGTGAGGTGCAGACATTTTTAGCACTAATAATTGCAGATTCAAATGAGCTACATCCAAGAATAGTAAAGAGGGGTGGAGAATGAAAAAAAGAGAGCAGAGACTCTCAGCAGTTAACAATCTATTAAAGATCATTAGGATCCCACATGAGGAATTGGAAAGTGTGGCTAGGAAGAAGAATGTCTGCAATGCCCCGGTGGATGGATGAATGATCTGCAGTGTGTGAGCTGCTGATGTTTTACAGACTTTGGCTTGTTTTCAGGTGATTACCAATGTCTGTTTTGGTGTGGATTAATTTCTAAATAAAGGCCCATGCAAGAAGAAATAATTTGAATTATAATACTAGTACTACAATATACTGTGAAACCACCAGGGTCCTAAAAGTGCAGTGGCACAACTTTTAGGTCACACCACCTAAAATTGGAAGAAAAAAAAAAAAAAAAAAAACAGTCAGCAGAAAACAGGAAATAAAAACCAGATTTTGTTCTGAGTGTTCACTCTTGAGTAATCCATCCACTCCAGCCTTCTCTCTCTCTGCCAGTTTTTTGTCTCTACAGCACTTCCAATATATTTCTGCTTTAACCTTTTGTTATGTTTTTTTTGTTTTTTTTAGAAGAACATGGTTTTGGTTAAAGACGTCTTTTGCAAATAAAAAAAATAGCAGTCTCTTATTTGTTCAGAAGTATATTTATGCCGCACACAAATATTTAAGATATGAAGCCAACTTTATTAGAGTCTTTATGGACGCTTAGAAGCAGACTGAATTTAGTCTGAGATTAAAGAGCTGCATTTAGTCTAAAAACATTCTTGCCTACAATATAAACACCAGGCCTGATTTATTTCTAGAAATATTGATCAATCATGAAATGTGAAGACTAACAAAACATATTTACAGATTCAAAGTCCTCACAGTCATACACCTGACACATCAGTGATACTAAGTTCTGATGTCTTCACCTTTGCTCCACAGAAAATGTCCTGTTGTATGGAGGTTAAACTATAAATGGAACATAAATAAGAGACTGCAGGTTTTTGATGTAAACATTCATAATCTATCGTGTCATACAGGGGCACACTTAAACAATTAAAGGCAGTATAATCTCAGTAGAACAAGTACATAAGTTCATACTTGTGAAATTCTTATATTTGTATTACACGCCTTATAACATATTAAAGGCACACTGACAGTTTGCAGTCAGGCATCCATTATGTTAGAGTCTCTTTGAGCTTTTAATTAAGTAAAAACATATCCCAAACTTTGGCTTGCACTGAGGCTGAACTACAAAATAACCCTGTTGTGTACCCACTGAAAACCGTCCGGGTGCTGCTCTGTACTGTTGCCGTTCAGTTCCGTCTTTTACAGCGTTTAAAAAAAAAGGAAAAATAAAGTGAAAAACTGTTTTTGGTATTTGTGAACATATTCCGCTTTACAGAAGCTTTTTATGTGAATCTTCTTCTTTACTAAGCCCTAACGTCCGCCTTTTCACCAGTAGAAACACTCCACATTAAATCTGTGATGATCCTTACCATCTGTCTGCTTTACATCCAGCTGCTGATGGACTCCCAGCGGTTTACTGTCCGGGTTGTCTTTAAAACGAACACTTTCAGTGTCGTGCTGCTGACAATATTCCTCTTCGTTCATAGTGTCCGCATTTGTTCTGTTCTTTAAAATAAACTGGAGGCTCATTTGAGATGAACCAGGCCTGCGCAGGACCGATCACCTCCGCTCACAGTTAAAGAAGCGCTGGCTTCATTTTCTGTCCTGCTTCTACATCCGTGGATGTATTATATAAGAGCGTGATGCAGATTCCAACAGGGAATCCACTCTCCTGAATCCTTTTGTTAAAAGATTTGTTGCCGTCTCCGCTAGTTTTTGAGCAGGCATCGGCACGGACACCTTTAGTCTCCGTCACCATAGTAACTACAGGCCTTGCAGCAGCAGCAGTAAACACTTACACCACATAAACGTACATGTCAAAGGCAAATATTAAAAGATAAATATATGTTTTAAATATATCATATTACTAGGAAAAATAAGTATTGTAAAAAATAATATTATATATTAAATAAATAATAAAGAAACAAAATAAATTCTAATATTATAAATACTGTAAAATAATAGTTAAATTCATTTTTTATTGTGTTTTTTAGTTGTATTAATTTTTAAGTAAAAAAAGATCACAAATGTTAAATGTTTAGCTATGAACAAATTACATATTTACAATCATGTTGTTTGCAGCATTTGTGAAATTTTTCAGTTTTTATAGACATATTCAAAATTTTAGTCACTCAATACAAAAATGTTATTCCTGGTAGAAGTTTGAATTAACAGGATTAAAAGGAAGTCGCTTGATTGCATTTGTGAACGTCTTCAGGAACGGACAGATCGTTTTATTTTTAGCAATGATACAGCTATTAAAGCTTCGGGGTTTTAATTAAGAGTTTAAAATAATATATTAACATAGGCCCTATCCAATCTATTTATTTCCCATTTATTCTTTCCAATCTTGCCATTTATTTTTTATTAGTTCTAATTAGTAGCCCAACTAATGAGGATTTACGTACTTTTAACTTAACAGCTGAAACAACTTGGACATCTGTGATCCAAACAGTTCTTACTCTTTCCATTCATGTCTATAGAGCAAAACTAGTTTCCTTCCGTTACAGTAAAATCAGGCCGATGTGATATTTCTGCCACTAATTTTAATTTGTGTGCTGTATCAGTCTCCATTATTTCCATAAACATTATCCACTGATTAACACTGATCAAAATGTGACTTGTTTTTTTATTAATCCGACTAATCAGTTCTTTTCTCCATATATGTTTTATTGGAAGCCACAACCTCCCCTGTTGTTCAGGCAGATGTCGCCCTCTGCTGGCCTGCTAAAAGAAAAGCATGTGTCTTGTACATTTTCTGAAAGTACTACTCATACCAATTCATATGTATCCTACCATGAATAAGAGGGGTGTGGCTGTCCTCTGACGTTTTCCGTTTTTGAATTAATTTATCATCCAAAAACAGAGAAAGAAAAACAGTGTATATGCTGTTCTTTACATAAAATATCTCATTTGAAAATCTGAGAAACTCTTACTTCACCGTTTGCCTCTGTAAAGGTAACGGTCCTTATTTCTCCATTCACCATGTACACACACAGTGGCTGGAAACAACACCTTTTCTGTCACTTCCTTTTATTTCTGGTTTTATTTACCAAAAGATTTCACAACAGTACAAAATAGACACATCTATATTTATGATATTTATCCTCATTGTTTTCAGAAAGGCATCTTCTGATATACAGCACATTGGTAGCTACAGATTGGTGGACTAAGAGGACGTCTATTTAACTTAGGAATTGTTCAAAATCAATATTTTACTGGGTAGGCCTTGCAAATTCCATGCATCTATTTTTTCTCCCTTTACACATGTCAGGGTCATGGGGGTAGCAGCCTTAGCAGTGATGCTCAGACCTCCTCCAGTTCATCTGGGGGACACCGAGGTGTTCCCAAGCCAGCTGGGAGAGTCCCTCAGCTGGCATCCTCCAGTGGGATGTGCCTGAAGCGCTCACCTAGGAGGCATCCCAGTCAGATGGTGAACCACCTCACTGACTCCTCGCAGAAATTAGTTCCTTTTCTGGATAAATGTTTTTATCATTGTACTTATTTTCATTGAAAATAAATACTGCCAATCATGAGAAAAGAGGATAAATTGCTTTCATTTACATATCTTAATGGCTCCTCAGCAAAGGTTTCCTCCACACAGTGAAATTAAATTTCCAAATTAATTTCAGTCAGATGTTATTTCTAATCAGTTGCATTCCACTCAAGCTTCAAATACAATGAAGCTGATAAAAGCAAGGTATGTGCTTGACTTTGACAATTAAATATCAAATATTGTACCTGAGCACATTTGACCTCCACAGCCCAGCTTGGTTGACTAAACACAAACCCAACCAACCCAAGGAGGGGCATACTCACTGAGAGCACATCCTGAGCACTCTGAAGTACTTTTCAGTGTAAAAACAGACACACAAAGACTTGTTTTTTCTTTCTTAATTCCTTATTTATTGCACGCAGGCAAGTAAAAGACTTCAAATATATATATAAAATAAATCAATGTAAGACAATTAATTGTTGCATTCAGTGTTTCTTCATATTTCAACTGAGAAGGATTTTCATCCGAGTATTAAAAACAATGCTTAGAATTACATTTATGTTAAGTTGTCCAGTTTTGAGCCTCTGAAAATAGGGCACAAGTATAAAATGGTGATGATTCCTGAACGTTTTTTTGTACAACCTCTTGAATTAAAGGTGAAAGTCAACCTCCAATCGCATATCGATTGATTTAAAATCCACTGTGCTGGTGTACAAAGACATCTTCTACTATCCAAATATTTATGGACACAGCTGTACATGACTCCGGACGGTACAAAGGGCTTTCATTTACTTTTGTAAAGCAAATCTCTGATTTATACATGTACTTTCTCATGAAAGCAACATTAACAGAAGCTTGATTCAGATTTACTGCCAAAACACTTTTTAAACAACACTCCATTAACTGCAGTTTCTGCAAAGCAACTTCTTAAAAGCTGACTTGACAATTCAATACATTTGTAGGACTCATCAAAATCAGATTGAAGGCATTTAAAAAACTTAAAATATTTAAAAACTCTGTGTGGTCCTTACCAAGGCACTTGGGTAATGTATCCTTCACAATGAACCCTGAAATAATGCAGCTTCTAACACTTGTGAAGCGTCATGTGAGCCTTAAATCGTGTCTTTCGATTGAAGGTTTTTCCACAAACATCACAGCCAAACGGTCTCTCTCCTGTGTGGATCGTAACGTGACTCTTCAGATACTCCTGCCGGTAGAACCGTTTTCCACAAAAATCGCACCCGAACGGTTTTTCTCCAGTGTGCCGTCTGGTGTGCTCATCAAAATGCTTCTTCTGGCTGAAGCTGCTGGCACAGAAGTTACACTGATAAGGTTTCTCTCCAGTGTGGATTCTGATGTGTGCCTTGAGATGAGTCTGTTGGCTAAATTGCTTTCCACAAAACTTACACCCAAACGGTTTTTCCCCTGTGTGAGTTCTCATGTGTGTCCTCAGAACACCCTGCTGTCTATACTTTTTACCGCAGACGTCGCAGCTGAATGGTTTCTCCCCCGTGTGCACTCTCAGGTGACTCCGCAAGTTCCCCTCCTGTGCAAACCTCTCACCACAGACGTCACAACCAAAGGGTCTTTCTCCCGTGTGGGTCCTCATGTGTGTTTTAACGTGCATTTTGCGAGTGAACTTTTTACCACAAATATCACAGCTGAACGGCTTCTTTTGTGGGTAGAGTCTTATGTAAGGCTGCTGCGTAAACCTTTCAGTGTTAACACTGTTAGGAAAGTGAGGCACAGGCGTCTCCTTCTGATCTCCATCGCTGGTTTTTGTTTCAGGTCCAGGAGAGGATAACGGTTCCTGCCAATCATCATCGCCGTCACTGATGTCAGTTTCAGAAGAATCAGAAGCGTTTCCATTTGCTTTCAGCTCTGCACAAATCTTTAGATTTGGGTTTCCAGCTGGTTCTGCTCCTGGATAGTCCTCTCCATCAGTTTCTGCTTTTATCCGATTAGTCTCTCTGTTGTAGTCATGTTGGTTCTGGTGGAGATCTGAAGTCTGAGTTTTCTCATCATCATCATTTTCAGTCTTCACAGTGGCAACAGCGAATGAGAACCTGGTGTTATCAGCTTCCTCCGACCCGTTAAGATGCTCTCCCCCCACACTGGTCAGGAGTTCTTCCTGTTCCTCCTTTATTTGGAGGATCTCCTGGTGCTGATGGTCCACACCGAAGCTCCAGTCAAAGGGAATTTCTTCTTTAATCACCAAAACCTTCTGGACATCAGGTGGCAATACTGAAACACACAGACATGGACAGTTGTGTAATTAACTGAATTATTTTAAAGGAAACTAACTTTTTGCTCCTCAATTTAAAAGGACATTCTTTTTTTTTCCTGCTACTCCTTTATTTCCCGAAGGGTCTCCACAGTGGAGTTTGCAGTTTATCTGGGTTTTGGTAAAAGTACTAAGAGCACACTAGTTGGTGCTCTAAGGTTTGTCTCCTTCCAGCCTCAAGATGGGGATCTTTCACATGACAGCCAAACCACTACATCATGAAGCCATGGGTGCATGAGACACACATGGTGGAAATTAAGCTATTAAGAAACATGCAGTTTTACAAATACTGGAATAAATATTAGAGGCAGTGGATGCTGCTTATAACCAAAAGTATAAATGTTTCAAAAATGTATTTCGGGAAAGTAAGAGAGAACATCATCATAAGCAAACTGATAACAGTATTGCAGTTTTCCTATTAAAAAGTAATAATTAGGCGTGAAGCATGTGGTTAGCTGTCGTGGTATGACTTACATTTCTACAGCTCAACAAGTAAATATTTAGAGCTAATCCTTCCGTCAGCCAAGATGTTAAAATCAAATCAAAAACATAACACACAGCTACGTTTAGCTTTGGGCTAAAATATCACATCTGTAAAGGTAAATCATGGTTTGGGGTAAAGCTATTAATTATGTTTTGTTCTCAGATTTAAAACGTCCACAAAAATAGACATAGAATTTGGAGCTGCATATAGAGATGTTGAAAAAAGTCAGCTTACGGGATACAGGGTTTGTCTCTGCAGTGGGATGTGGTTTGTGGCTCAGCTGCAGAGGAGGGATGGAGCAGTGGGTTCAGGGGACAGAGCCAGGGAAGGCTGGCTGGCACAGCTGTTATCCATCACACTAACCACGCCTACCCCAGTTCAGCATTATTATTTAAGTAATTAAAGCACAAACGCTGCCTTGAACTACACTTGTGTGCACCCTTTAAACAGTCCGGGTGCAACACCGAACCCTCCCACTGACTTTCGCTCTTTTTAATCCGTAAATGTCATTAATAACTATTAACAACAACTATCATTACCAAAGTCGCTTGACTGCATTTGTGAACGTCTTCAGGTTAAGACATAAAAGGAAGCTCCGTTCCTACGTGAACAGTTCATCGACCCCCTAAAACGAGCTACCAGCCGCTAAGCAGCCGTTTCCTGTCCGATAAACTCTCCACGTTAAATCTGATTATTCTCACCAGCAGTTTGGTTTACACCTTCTTTGTCCTGTTGAAGGACTGCGTGGAATTTCATTTCCGGGTTTTTCTCAGAAAGAAGACTTTCGTGGTTCTGTTGTTGAAGATATTCCACTGTGTTCATGGTGCCCGCTGCGTATTTGATCCTTTTTTCCAAAAGAAACTTGGAACGAGCGACGCATGCGCAGATTATCTCGCAGTTCAGTCCGTGCAGTCACGCCACTGGCTTCCCTTCATTGGCTTCCTGTTAAATCCAGAATTCAAAATCCTGCTCCTCACATACAAGCAATGTTCCCTCTAAGTCCCCTCTAGTTAGTGTGTAGTTAGTGTGTAGTTAGTGTGTAGTGTAGTCAATAGTTTTGTTGTGTGCCTCAGAACAATGAGGCGACTGCTGAGTGTTACAGGTGTTACAGCAGTGATACATCTGCTGCTGTCAGGCCTGCAGGTATCAGGCTGCTGTTCTCCTTCATCTCATAGTGGACAGAAATTATTTTTGGAGTGGCACAAATAATTTGTGTGGCATCAGATTTGATGCAGAACAGCTGATTGTTCTGTAAATAGTTTGAAATGTTTATTAAAAAAACGCCTTGGCTGCATTTTTAGGTAAACAGCTGCAAAAAATGTTGTTTGCATAAATCAGTTACTTTTTTGAAGAAGTAACTATATAATTAATTGCCCAACATTGGTCATTATTTACTGTATTTTGCAGACAGAGTTACAGACTCTCTCCCAGACCACAGACTCATAATACAGTCAGAGTTTTATATAAAAAAATAAATAAAGTTGTGTTTTCAAAACTGGAGTTCAAGTTATTTTTCCTTCCAATAGTGTTAACATGCTACACAGGTCATGAACAAGGTTTTTTTTTTAAATTTTCATTGTAAGTGGGCTAAAGCAGTTAATTAAAAGTCGTCTAACATAAATGTAAATGCTGTAATTTGATTATTTTAATAAACCATGTAACTTGGATGGATTCGATGCTGGCGTGACCACAGTGCACACGTCTGCTGTTGCTCACAGTGGTCCAAGGGACGCTCAGGGAGTTTGTGTGTTCGCTCAGACACGTGAAAAATTAGCTGGCTTATCTTAATGACCTTGTAGTACCATATCACCCCATTAGAGGACTTCACTCTCACACTGCAGGTTTACTGTGTTCCTAGAGTATTTAAAAGTAGAATGAGAGGCAGAGCCTTCAGTTTTCAAACTCCATCTCTTCCCATCTCAAACACAGAAAACATGCAAGTTTACACGAAGTCTTACAGATTCGTGACGCACATACACGCCATTTCTGTGTTTCAGAAATGTTCTGAGAGGTGTCAGTGGCTTAAGTTCATCTGGACTCGACTATTTCAACAGTCTTTCTTCAGGTGTGAGTCTGTCACTGTTCACTCAACTATAGATGGTTCAAAAAACACAGTTATTATCTGGAACATGGAAGCAAGACCACATATCTCCTGCACTGGCTGCCAATCAGCTTCTGAAATTATTTTACTGATTCTTTTAAGGGTTGCACAGTTTAGCACCTTCTTACCTGTCTGACCTTTTCACTAGATCACCAAGGTCTGCAGATGCTGTGCATTAAAATACTGTGACTGCTGACTTTAACTAATTTAATGTATGTACATGTAAATCTTCTGTATTTGTGGTGTGTAAAGATTGTAAACAGTGGTGCGTAAAATGTACTTGATTGATATACATTAAAATGATACCACATTTTCCTTAATGACTAAATAAACCCATTTCAGCTACTCAGATTTGTTGCTTCCTGTTGACTGAGGGTGAAGGATCATTGTTGAGTGTGTGAAACAAACTGCCTTTCACATCAGGACAACATTGGACA